ACACACACACACACACACACACACGCACACACACCGCGCGCGCGCAAACACATTCAAATACAGATTCACTGAAAAGGAACCCAGAAAGGGGTCGGAAAATCAGGTACGAACGTTAAGATAAAAACAGGGACCGACAACGCCTTGATAAATGGCGAGATGGGGCTGGGGGCTGAATAACCGGGATGAGAAGGGGAGGAGGGTTGTACAGTGTTTGAATGGAGAAATAGTGATGGGGATAATTATTGAGAATAGATGAATGGGGCAATAAAGGAGAAAGGGAGGTAGAGAAAGATGGCCAAAACCTGAGCACACGCACGCACACTGGATGGCTGAGGGGGGAAACGGGAGGGGGGGGTGGAGGTGACACACAACGATGAGATGGGTATAGTAATAGTAGCTATTAGTTTTGCTCAGGATGAGGGGGGGTTGGTCCTTTTGCTGTTTTTGCTTTTGCCTTTGTTATTTTTCCGGGAAAAGAAAGACTGACCCTCTCAAAACAGGTACTCGCAGACAGGCAAAAAGGCAGGGGGTGAAGGGAAGGTACGCACAAAATAAAATTTAGAAATAAATAAAGCCAAAACAACATGTTTCAGTAAATGGGGAATCTTCGGGAAAATAGAAGACAGTTCCATTGTGTGAGAGATAACAGTGATGTGTGTCGTTGGGGGTGTGAGCACTGACGACATTGAGTAGGTGCTGGCGGTGTGTGGCGGAGGTGGTGGGAGTGGTCACAATGTTGGACTAAGTCTGCAATTGATGACTGACTATATGAGACAAAGACCAAGTGAGTGACGGACAAATGTGACGCAGATACTGTCAGTGCTCGGTTAAAGCATATTATTATGACATAGATATTTTGAGTTGTGATGACGTGAAGATGTTTAACGAAGAAAAAGTGAGAGGACCAACGTAGACGTCGATGACGTAAATGTCGAAAGGTTATGAAATACCATGTATCCAATCTTTGTAAAAATCTATATCTCCAACGGAAGAAAATAGGGAGCATTAGAAAATATCTATCTGTTGGTGTCA